GGTAGTACTGAACCAATGCTATGGCAATGCTGGACTAATTCTGGGACAATAATGGGGTAGTACTGGACCAATGCTGGGGTGATGCTGGGACAATAATGGGGTAGTACTGAACCAATGCTATGGCAATGCTGGACTAATTCTGGGACAATAATGGGGTAGTACTGGACCAATGCTGGGGTGATGCTGGGACAATAATGGGGTAGTACTGGACCAATGCTGGGCTAATTCTGGGACATTAATGGGGTAATACTGGACCAATGCTATGGCAATGCTGGGCTAATTCTGGGACAATAATGCAGCAATAGTAGGGAAATGCTAGGCCTATTTTGGGGCAATGCTTGGGCAGTGATGGATGGCCAATAATGGGACAATGCTGGGGCAATGCTGGGGCAATGCTGGCCAACGAGTGTGTGTGTCCATACACGATAAGGTGTGTGCATGGGTGTCTATCAGCGTGTGTGTTGGTGATAAACTTTGTGTGATTGTGTGTGCCAGTGTTTCTTCTAACCATGTGCTACACGTCACAATGAAAAAGGATTCTGGGAAGGTGTCATGCTTCTTAACCATGATCAGTTGTAACCTTCCTCTCTATTATCATGTGTGAGTCATGGTGGACCTATCGACTCTTTGATTATTCAGATATGTTTGAAAGAAAGGAGTTAAAAAGAATGAGTCAGCCAGTGTTGAAGCATATGAACATGAGTATGTTACCCTTGGTGCCCCTGTTAACAAGCATTGCACAAGTGAGCATCAGTGACATCATCCTATCAATTCCCTTGAGGCTGTGACATCATCTAGTTTCACCATGACATTCTCTCCTCTGTACATAGCACAATATGAGGCATTTTGATTAAAAGAGATGGATCATTCCATGAAATCCTCAGAAATAATCAGCAGAAAAACTCTAAGTCTCCATTTTTTAATATGGTATAAGTGTGACTGTTTGGCTCAGTGTAAACCAGTTTAAAAACTTGTACATTTAAATTTAACTTTAGAGAGATAAGAAACACTTATTCAGAAAAGGGTCAGGAATTTCATCTGTCCCTTGCTACAATCTTTTGAAATCATTTGAATTTCTGTTTTGCTAAATGCAAACATTAAACATAAAACCTGCATAAGGTGAAATGTACCCTATTATTGGTAGAATGAGCTTCAGTGAAATCAGAAGGTTAGTTGTTGTTTTGCTAGATGCTGAGTTACCAAGTAAATCCCTAGTGTTTCAGTGTGCTGGCTGCCCTGGGGCCTGCCCCCCCACCTCGGACTGCCTGCCCCCCCACCTCGGACTGCCTGCCCCCCACCTCGTGCTGCCTGCCCCCCAACCCAGGCTGCCTGACTTTACGTTGGGGTGATGCTTTCCTCTCACGCATTTCTAATGATTTGGATAGAATCACATCTAGTTTCATTCTTATCGAAGTTAATCTGAGCGTTAATCTTTTAAAGAGACAGCTTTGCCTCATAGAGATACTTTCCGCATGCGTTTATCAATTGCCGGAGTAGGTCAACAGAGTCCTTTGTATTCTTCCCTTGCTCCCAGCATAAACTGTTGCTTAGAGATGCTCCAGTCAATCTGTCATATGTGCAAGTCCATAAGCTGTTGTTTTCAGCTTTCTTTGGGGTGCTCCAGGGATGCTGTGTGATCCTGGCTTGTATGCCTGCTAAATAAATGTAAATGAAAGACCAGCAGGCTGTGTGGGTACTCTGCTGTAGCATCTGAAGCTGAACGTGGGGCCTCGGTTGGCTTCCAAGGATGGGTCTGTGGCGCTGGACCGCATGGCTTCATCAAAGAAGTTTCTTCATGGCCAGCAAAATGAAACGCAACCGGGGGTCAAGGTCCTTTTAGCAACAGCAGATTACAAGAAGAAAACACCCAAGAATGATGTACTGTATGTGGGGTGGAGACTTTCCCTGATCTTATGCAGTCCTGGGGGGCTGACCTGTAAAACAGTAATAGGGCAGATATTACAACAAGGGCTGATTCTGGGTGCTTTAAGGTAGATACCTAAAATTGAAAGCTTTACTGTTGTAAAAATAAACATTTGCATGATGTCGATACGCTACATTTAGCCATCCTTCCATTCCGGATATCCAGTGAGAGTCTTGATGAGCCTAAAGTCTATCCCAGGAACCATTGGGCACAAAGGCAAGTTAGTCCCTGGACAGGGTGCCAGTCCATCGCAGAGCATGTATGGACTATGTTTATTTGGATAAGCTTTTAATAATCTTTTCTCAGTAGAAGTTTCATAGCCTTCCTAAAAACGGATGAAAAAGTTAAACGTAGTCAAACCATGCTCTAGCTAGGATTTAGAGTGTTACTAATGTCATGACAGTTGTTCTTCAAATGTCAGCACCCAGCAATACCTCAATAATTGCTGCTAATGCGGTGTTTTATATATGAAGTATGACAAAAATGGAAACTGGGGCTTTTAGTAATCCACAGCTCTTACCGTCTGTCAGTGTTTTGTGCCGAAATTGGGATTCTGTGCTTTAGCGGGATGCCCTGAGTGGCTGGCCCGCATTAGTGCTGGTTTGCGGTTGTGTCAGACACCCTGCGCTGCTGTAGCTGCCCATCCCTGGGCCCCATGCTGCCAGCCGGGTCAGCATCCCGCTGACCACAATTACACACTGCTTTAGTGAGCAGGAAATGAAACACTCTGGAAAAATCTGTCAAGCTTTAAGCCTGATTTGCCGTGTTGTTTCATGTCAGCAGTATCAAAACCATTACGATGGTATAATTGTGAATGTAAATACTGTAATATCATGATGCAGACTGGCGAGGTTTCTGTTGCCCGGATTCTATTTTATGCCTCGGATTCTATTTATTTGTAAGTTTACTATGCATCTGCTGGCGCATTCCAAACTAAATCTCATTGTACTTACAATGACAATAAAGCATCTTTATCTTTGTCCTACAGACTGGATTCTCAGTGTTGGCTTTAAATGGGCCCTCTTACTGTCACCAGGAGTACAGCAGGATCTGTAATCGCATAGTGGTCCTTATCTGCTGTTGGTCTGAACATATTGTCTATACATTGCTCTGACTTTTCATGTCTATACATTGCTCTGACTTTTCTGTCTATACATTGCTCTGACTTTTCTGTCTATACATTGCTCTGACTTTTCTGTCTATACATTGCTCTGACTTTTCTGTATATACATTGCTCTGACTTTTCTGTATATACATTGCTCTGACTTTTCTGTCTATACATTGCTCTGACTTTTCTGTCTATACATTGCTCTGAGTGAGTCTTTACAACCTGTTGGTCTCTGAGCACATTGCTCTGTCCTTACAAAGCAGCACCACGCAAAACTAATATTTCTGGTCATTTCTTATTGCTTCAGCTGCTGAATTCCTTAACTATCTTACCTCCCTCTTTTACAACACTTGTTTGGCACTGCCTGTACAAGCCTTGTATCATAAAATATCCATCCATATACTGCAAAATAGTATTTCAAAGAAATAAATTATATATTCAATTGTTGTATAAATATGTATCAATTGTTAACACATAGTTTTTTTAATAAAACAAATATTAATTGAGAGGTGTCTTTCACAGTAACCAAATATTATCAACAAGAGCATCAGAGCCTGATGTGGTCACTGAAAAGATCATGCACACACACACTATTCTCATCTAAGTGTACAATTTTGTCATTGTATATTTGTATATGTCATTTCACTATTGCTGCAGA